GGGTCTCCTACCCTTAAGATGACGATGCTGCAGACGTTTCGAACGAAAACGAGAAACTTACGAGTTTCTTATCGCGATCACGGTGGCACTGACTCTAATTTTACAACTGCATTGCACGCAGTTAAAATATCAAACACTAACACAAACACTCATCCTTCTGAAAAGAGAGAAAAGAAAAAGACGATTAGAATCAATTTTATCATTTAAAAATTACAAGTAATTATTAAAGAAATGTTTAATAGAAAAATGAATTTACCTTCTATCTTCAGTGATGAATGCCCGATGGGTCTCCTACCCTTAGGATGACGATGGCACACGTATAAACCGAATAAAAGAAACTTTCGGAGTTTCTTTACCCGAAAAAAACGAAACTTTTAAATACGGCGAACAACACTGACTCTAATTTCCGATTTTTCTTTAACGATGCAAACACTCGAGTACCTCATTGCCTACGCGCTCGATTGCAATGATATTCTAAAACAGAAAATGAAAAATAACGATTAATAATCTCGTCGTAATTAAAAACTATTGAAAAATTATCATAGAAATGTTTGATAGAGAAATTCTACTTACTGGTAGTCTCCAGCGATGAATGCCTGATGGGTTTCCTACCCTTAGGATGACGATGACCTGTAGACGATAACGAAAATAAAAAACTATAAGAAAGTTTTTTAACGCGACCGCGAACGCGACCGAAACGTGCTTACCGACCGCACTGCACGTCAAAAACGACTGAAAGAATGCACAAGATAAGTGTTCCTATAAAATAAATCGAGTATTTTAATCTGGAATATAATATGAATGTAGTATTAAAGGGAAAACTATGAAATGAATTGTAATATGATATTAATTAGGAAAATGAAAGAAACTAATTATGATTATAATGTTTATGGTAAGCGGTCTTTAGCTAGATTTTACTTGTAATGTAATGGATAGCATATAAAAATATGATAAACATTACACGGAAAGTAATATCCATTGCCCGGGTCTAACCACGAGGAGGTAACCGCTTCCGAAGACCCACGAGACCCACGAGGGATGTGCATCCTAAAGATGTCCACATCCGAATATAATTGAAAGAAAATGAGATAATCAAAAAGACAACGTTTCTTAAAAAACATCACTCTTAGTCCCCACCATAAGAATTTAATCAATTCGCCAATAACACGCATCAACGTTTACATGACAATGTATAACGGAAAACTGATTAAAAAACAATGTAAGTTAAMGAAAAATTTGATGTTTATATATGAGACTAGTAACGAAATCAAGTTTAAAAAATTCATCTCTCTAAAAACATAAAATAAAAATATATTACAATTATTTCCTATTTAAAGTATGATACTTAGTATGTAATGCTTAAAGCAGTACATGTGTATTAAAACAATCTGAAATATAAASAGAGTGCATTAGAATATTTAAATAATTGTTAATTAATCGATAGAAATGTCTATTGTTGTTAAAAAACTCGGAATATATGTTAGGAGCACCGTCCTCTTCGAGGTCTCTTGTTAGACTGAGTCATTGTCCTCTAGAAAATTACTTTTATTGAAAGTTGTTTATATGACTTTTCGAACGTTGCGCATGTGTATAAAGTGAATAATCCACCTAATCAAGAAAAATTAAGATTATAACGTTCTTATTTTAGTATTCTTTTAATTTTTATGAAATTGTTTAAACTATTGTACATTTTTTTAACGTACCTCTGCAAAATGTTATCAGAGGGGGGAATTTTCCTCGAAAAGAATATCACATCGAAATTATTTAATATTTAAATTATGTTAATAAGTATATGTAATGCTTATACTAGTACATATAAGTTTAAACAATCTAAAATATAAAAAAAGTTTATTAGAGTATTAAAAAAATTGTTAAATAATCGATAGATGTGTCTTTTATTGTTAAAAAGCTCGGAATATATGTTGGGAGCTCCGTCCTCTTCGAAATCCACCTTGAGACTGGCACTTTCTCTTCTATGAAAATTCTTTTATTAAAATTAAATTTAAAAAAGTCATCTAAAGAAACGTAAAATAAAAATATATTAAAATTATTTCTATTTAAAGTACGTTAATATGTATGTAATGTTTACACCAATACATATGTATTTAAAAAATCTGAAATATAAAGAGAGTGCATTAGAATATTTAAATAATTGTTAATTAATCGGTAAAAGAGTCTATTGTTGTTAAAAAACTCGGAATATATGTTAGGAGCTCCGTCCTCTTCGAAGTCTCCTGTTAGACTGAGTCATTGTCCTCTAGAAAATTAC